TCTTCCCCCCTCCTCTCCTCTCTTTTCTTACAAACACAAACTCTCACAAGTGTGTACACAGCACACAGAGACACACACTGGAGAGTACACAGCAAACCAACAATGTGCACTTTGTCTGGGCACACAGTCGCTTAAAGAAGCCGCCGCGTCTTTCCGTCTTCCTTTTGCGGGTTGAAGGCGAATGAAGAGTTTGCGCTCCGTGACAGGGACCGTTTCATCAAATATATATGAACTGTGGAGGAACTCCGAAACGTCCCCTCAACGCCGCCGAAGCGCCTCTGTTCTTATTTCACTTACTGCAGGCGCAATTCTTTGATACGGATTCTATGGAAAATGACTCAGAGCCATTTTGGCGTGCTGGAAGCAGATTCAGCAAAGCTTTTTTTATTTTTTCTCTCTTCCCTCCTGAACTTTTAAAAGCTGGCGAACCTTTCTCTCCTTCCACTCGGTTGGTATTTCCCTCCTGATATAAATCACTTGAGTTCTGAAAGGGAACAGTGGTGCACACCAATTCTCTTTTATTACTCTCCAATATGGACAAATCTGTCCGGCTTTGACAGCAGCTGCAACCGTCCCCGCCCGTCCGCTTCGCTCATCGATTCATTTATTCCTCCGTCCGTTCATCGATTCATTTATTTATTATTTGTGTCGGTGGTCAATAGTCTGAGGGTGGAGGTGGAGGTGGTGGTGGGTGGAGGGGGGACTCAACCCACTTACTGTCATCAGAGGCAGCAGCGGGATCAGCCGGCGATTATAGTGATTACAGTTTGTGCTTACATAGAGCTCTGGTGCTTTGTGCCACATCTCCCCTCGTCAGCTGGCAGTCTGAGTTCTAATCTGCCAGTTATAACAAACAGCAGACGAGGGAACAGGAGGGAGGAAAAAAGCCGTTTGCGGCCAAATAGCGAAATCCGGGATGTGCGGGCGGGGTGGGGGCTTTTATTTTGAAATCTCATCCGACACAAAGGTCGTGGCGCTTCTAGGTGCATCCTTTTGTGAAGTTTCTGTAAACATATTCGATCCCCCCGGCTAGTTCAAAGGCCTCCATCAAAGCCAAGTGTCTGATGAAATCCTGATTAGCGCTCTAATTGGTATTGTGAAGTCGTGGCGGCACGTGGCGCGAGCAGCTTCTCCCGGCGTTATCGATCCCCCCCCTTCGCCCTTCTTCCCTACTCCGCTATTGATTTGCACTTACTACATTTAATTGTAATTATTTCTCAGCCTTATTTTATTCCCCTCCGCAAATGTCCGCGGGGTTGCCTTCAGGACACCGTAGGAACAAAAACACAAAAACAAATGCGGTGATGAAAGGGGATTTGGAGGAAGGGGGGAAAAAAAATGGGTCAAGATAGATGTTAAGGCTCAGATTAAGTTTGCAATCCATGTTAAATACACATTATGATGTTTAATCCCTCAAGAGGAAGTTATTATGAACCGCGGCGTGATTAAAAACTCCAGATTTGGCCGTAGCTTAGCGTCCGGAGCCGAATCAAAAACACGCCGCCGTTGTTCATTTAAATGCGTTGAATCTATACGTTTCTGCCTCTCCTCCGGCCTCTCGCTTCTATCACTTCTAATTCCATGTGACACCTAATCTTAACCCGTGTTCTCGCCCGCTGATTACAAAAAAACCCCCCTCAGCTCCGAGTGGAAGGTACCAGAAACCGTGAGGGTGCAGAGACGAGGAAGGCCGCCTCGATAATTGTTTCTCGCTTTCATTGGCTTGACCCCCTTTATTTATCTGACTGGCGTTTACGGGCCCGCAAATTAACTCTTCGCGGGCAGACGGCTGACGGCGAGTGAGTGAGTGAGTGAGCGGCGGATGGATGATGGTGAGTTCATGAACCCATAAAGCTCACATGGGAGCGAGTCGGCGGACCATATCTCATTAAGCTTGAAACGAGATGGGATCCGTTTTTTTTGCTTGTCCCTCACTCACTGGTTCGATTGATTAGTCGGCAGCCAATCAATGTTAATTAAGGTGTAGAGAATCCTTTAATTGTGGCGTATGAATCATTGTGTCGGACCCCGCCTTGACCTTCACACCGGAATAAATACCTTTTTATACATTGCGAGATAATAGGAAGCATTGATTTGATGGATCCGCAAATCAAGACCTTCCTGTGGGTTTTTTATTTTAAATTTTGCAACCACATGCGGAGCTCTAACTGATCGATACCTGTCAAAACGTTTGAGAGTTAATGTCGGGAGATTAGCGCTGCTATTATGTGCGGCGAGGGGCCTCACCGTGCATATGAAGTGGCGCTTTGATTGATGACTGCCAAAAACAAAATGGCACACGAGAACACCTCCGGCACCATAATTGTGTTTTTTAATGAAGACCTACATTTCGCGTTGGAGCTGATTTCGCACTCAGTTGATTGTGTGTGTGTGTGTGTGTGTGTGCGCCCCCCTCCAACCCTCCACCACCACCTCCCTCCCATCCACCGCCGCCGCCGCCATCCATCATGGCGTAATGACAGTGTAACCTGTGCAAGGTTTTAAAGCCTGCTGGTGGGTCCATGACTGCGCCTCGGCAGAAAGATGAATTTGCTCGTGACAGTGTCACCTGAACCTAAAAAAATAACCGGTGAACTTCATAAGTTTTGAACAATACACATTTCCCACAACCTTCAGTCTACCATGATTTACTGTCGTCACTGTTCAAGCATTAATTTTCTTTCGCTTATTGTTATTTAAAGTGCAAAAATAGAGTTTTCTCTATTTGGATATAACTAACAAATTAAAAAAAGGAAACACAAACAACTTAACTTGGTAATAACCCATAATAACTCATAATAACATGGTAATAATCCAGTAATAACCTGTAATAGCTATCATGACCAGTAATAACATAGTAATTACAGTTAAAATTGAACAACATGAACTAAAACAAAGGACTTGTGCTTTCTAAAAAATATTTTCTATAAGTTAGTTGTGTACACTGCTGCAGAAAGATGAATTTCCCATTTGCAGAACCACCTGAACCTTAAAAAACAATGGTGAACTTCATAAGTTTTGAATGTTAAACATGTCACACAGCTCCTTCAGTTGACCAAGATTTACTGTTTTTCCCATTCTTGACCTAATTTTCTTTCTTTTATTATGAAATGTTATTGTCAAAAAATGTACAACTTGGTAATAACCCATAATTACATGGTAATAACTTGTACTAGCATAGTAATAATCCAGTAATAAGATAATAGCACAGTTAAAGAACATAAAATAAAACAAAAGAACTTAGTTTTCTCAAAAAATACAATCTACAAATGAAATTAGGTCACAAATAAACAGGGTAATTCTGAGACAATTTTCACTGATTAACCGTTTTTGTTGCGTAGCTCATACTAGCATCAGTACAATATTGATTGTTCTGAAGTTAAATTTACATTCACATACCAAATCTAGACCCTTTTGAAGAAGGGCTGCATCCTGGGTGGAGAAAAAGAAGACACATAAAGGAGATCCATCCATGTCCCAGTTCCTTTTACACCTGTTTTTGTTAATTTGGTGCAGAATAACACCTACAAGCACCCGTCTGATGCATGATTTTTGCCCAAATGCGGATCGATGTTGTGCCAAATTTTATGTTTCGAGTGGCATATTTTTAGCCATGTTTGCTCTGCTGTTAGTCATCTTGCTATTTATTTAATTCATGTTTTGTGCCAGTATTCTGGAGGTATGAGTAATCCTCTAAATACCTCTAAATATCAGTATACAGTTGGAAATCATGTGTCTTATAAATCATCCATGAGGATGAGGGTTATACAATCCACAGTGGTAAAAATAAGTGTGTTTCTTCACTCAAATAGTCACCAAATGTTCTTGTAATTCATAGACAGCCTCAGCTAAAATTACACAAACACTTGTAATCTTTTGGGGCTTTATTGACTTGCACCCATTAAAAATTCAGTGTTTGTGGAAGAAGCGAGTTACCCGATAATTTACGAACTGTCTGAGTCGAGTTTGGCAGCCGACGGCCTCAAACAATCACTTGTTCTAGCTGCAGTCAAACCCGATACTTTCAGGAGGAGTTGTGGACCCGTCTTCCTTCCAGAACCGCTTTAGCTCAGCACTTTTCTCAGGTTGTTCTCCGGATGTCTGGTGGTTCTCCTGAGGTCGCTCCGCTGCATCTCTATCGTCTGAACAAAAAGGACGACTTTTCGAGGATTTACTTTGAGCTTTGCGGTAATTGTCCTGCTGCTTCGCCCAGTTCGGCCTCCTGACATTATCCTGAAAGACGCCTTGATAAACTTGGGAATTAATTTTCCCCTTCGACGACGGTGGAAGCAGCATCAAACCATAATGCTGCTGGGATGTTGTTCACCGCTGGGATGCTTCCACCTCCAAAAACACCGAATCCAATGTGTCATTTATAAGACTCTCCTTGTCTAGTGTCACACTTTCCAGCTGTTTCCACAGATTCAACACCACTCCGCATGACAATTAAACCTCATTTGGTGAAAAAGTAAAACACGTTGTGCCCCTTTAACAGTTTCCAAATATAGAAAATCCCGCTCAAGTCTCATATATTTAAGGCGAGCGACTGGATGAGTTGTTTTCACAAACCGTGGAGCTTTGTAATCTTCATAATCTCTGCTACAGAATTAAATACTTTCTACTTCATTACCCGCATGCCAGACATCTGGCTAATGTTCCTCTGTATATTGTGGCCACTCAGAAGGACAAGATTGCTGTTTTTTTTTCTTTCTAACAGATTCATTTTTCTCTCTTTGCTTTCAGATGTAACAACAGGACCCAGTGCGCCGTCGTGGCCGGACCCGACGTCTTTCCCGACCCGTGCCCGGGAACCTACAAATACCTGGAGGTCCAATACGAATGTGTACCCTACAGTACGTACTCCGCCGCTCTTGTTCTCAAACGCCTCCTAATGCCTCTCGCCCATTCTCATTTTCTCATAACAGCGATGACTCACCAGCAGCTCAGTCAGCGTGCAACGCTAGTAATGTTCCAAATGTTCAAATATATCTCAAATGTGTCATCCAGTCTAGTAGAACAGACCCAGCAGTGGGTGGGAAGACACATGATCCTGTAAAAAGAAAAAAAAAACACAACACGCCGCATGAGGACAGGAAGCGACTGTGTTGTTTGCAAAAAATAACGCCGCTTTCTTCTGCATCAATTATATCAACGTCCTCTCAGATGAGCAACGTCTTCTGCGGGACGCCGGTTGTGTAATTTATTAATGAAAAGCATCCAAACGTACGACATGACGGCGGGTTAATGTGGATTTGATTCCTGTAATAATGCAGCTGCGTGGGAGTTGGGGTTAGGGTGTTGTGACATCCTAAAAGGAATATAAAAAACATGCGCTAATGCGTTCAGTCAGAGGCAGCGTTAGCTACGTTTCATTTCGTCGATGGTGCTTGTCACAACCTTCCCATCAGCTCCCCCAGTTCACAGCGCTTTAATATCTTTGAGGAGGCACGTCTGATCGTGTCAAGTCTCTGTTTGCGTCGCAACAAGAAAGGCCGTTTTGACTTTCATCGGAATGAAGCGGTTCAGTTCAGCTCAGCGGACGCCGGCTAAGGAGGGGCGGGGGGGTAAATAAAAATGATTTAATTAGTGCAGCAGGTGAAAAAAAAACAGTAAGTGGAAACGTCTGGGCGGGGGGGGAAGGATCAGCATGGGGTAACAGGATGAAGCACGCGGGGAGGAAATCCAGGTGAAGTTAAGAGGAAGCGGCTCGGACGCTGTCGCATGACCCCTCGGTATTGTTTTAAAATGACCTTTGGAGTGGGAACATCAAAGTCACCGTAATCACTCGTGCCAAAACCCTGACATTTGCCGGCTTTGTCGCAAATGATATCAAACTGGAAGTGTTTGGTCACGGGCGTTTAGCTGTGAAGTCGGCAGCCGCTGGATTGAAAGCGAATTCTAGTTATTCAAATTCAAATCAAAACCATCTTTTTAACATTTGATGTCCTTACATGGCTCCCTCAGTGGTCTGTCTGACGGCAGCTTTCATGTTGTGAAGTGAAAGCTTTTTACTACCTGTGATCCCGAGCTGGCAAATGGCTCTTTTGTACCTGACTTTTTGTAATATGCACATTTTGCCATTTCAAGCCACCCATTGAGTCTTTCTGAGGCGTTCGTGTAAAACAGCGACCCAGCCACAGCGACTGCAACGGACACTAACACGACTTTAATTAGTCCACAGTTGGTTCTTTTCAAGTTCCATCAACGCTGTTTTTTTTCAATCCACCAGTATTTTGACAGTTTGTCCAAAGAATGCTTCTCTGGAGAAACCGAGATGGACTTTTTTTTCCATCTTCTCTGACTTTCAACTTGGCATGCCAGTGTTGCCACATTTTGTCCTCAAAGGTTTACAGGAAGAAGTTCTGGTGATGAATTTGCAAGTTCTTTTAAAAAAAAAATTTTATTCAGAATATTGAGACTTGGTTAGCCGACCTTGGCAATAAATCATATCACTATCTTTTGCGAAATAATCATAATTAGCGAGTCACAAGTTGATTTATTTGTGAATATCTACAAACCCTGTCAATTTAAATCAAGGTCAAAGCTCCACAGGGGATGTAAATGAATTGCTGTTATTTATTTAATCAATAAGATTGCTGTAGTACCTGGTTGTACCACCAGGTGGAGACTCTTACTCTTTAATTAGATGGACAACTACAGTTCTTTTGTGTTTAATACTGTAGTGACTCAAAGAAGCGTTAGCTCAAACTATGGGCAGTTACGTGAAGGCGATCAGAGAGCATTGTGGGGGTTTAGCTCGCAACGTGCACCATGACAAAGACTTACGTGGTCATTAATGACTTCTGGCTAACGTTCTGCTACGCAGATGTTCCTACAGCTAACTAGCTCATACAACCAAACCACTTTTGCATCATGTATCCTGCTTTAAAGAAGCTCAGCTTACAGGGTAATGTCCATTGTACTTTATTTGTTTCAGCAAATACTTGATAACTGATTGACAACACAAGCGACTATCAGTTAAGGAGTTTATTTGAAATTTGCTCAAGTCAAACATCTCCATTTTGTCTTCACTGATTTTAGCCACCAGTTTTAGTACCTCTGCCACTTTGATGTGTCTTTTGGGATACTGGTTTGCTCCAGTTATGCTTCATGAGCCATGCTGTCTTCTGTTTTTAAAATTGGCTGCGTCACTGTTGTGTCAGCTGCCTCTTTCGTAAGTTTCTCATCTCAACTCCTACTCCACCGACTTGGGTTGCAGCTAGCGATGGTCATCGGCCATAGCATCACGGATGGGCTTTGTGGAACCATTGTTCTACTCTGCAGCCTCTGTGAGCTTGACTTAAAGACACATGAACCACTTCTCCACCTGCTGCCGGTTCTGGTTGGAGTTCCATCACCAGCTGCAGTCCAAGATGGTGAAGTGGGAGTTGGTCTTTGGCGTGGCAGACTCAACAGAGAGGCAGCAACATGGCCGACGTAGGCACCGCAGGGACTCCACATTTCATTCAAACCCGCGACTTAAATTGAACTTTTACTTTGGCTCCTGCTCCTCCGGTCGCTTTCTGTAACGTCAATGTTCCGATTGATAGTTTAGCAAATTTTACGAGACTGATTTATGGGACGTATCTTTTGATTTAGTCCGTTCTCCCTCGACTGACAACGGCGCCACGATTTTTAACGAGACTGATTTATGGAAAACTGATTTAATAACCCGACACCTGCAGGTGGGGGATGTGGGACGGGACGGGGCGGAGGCGAGCCGGTTAGCAGAAAGTGAACTTTCAAGATCAGATACTGGTTATTGCCCTCCAGAGGGTGACGGTGGGGGGTTATTTCGTCTTATTTTTTTCCAATGTGGTCCTTATCGTTCCATCCAATTTTGATCGCATTACTTTCATCGTAATGCTAATTTTTCTGAGATATATTGGATATAGTCACACAGTGTGGCTCTGTGCAGCTACGTTGCTCGGTGGAAGCTTGGTTTCCTGCCAGTCCTGTTGAATGTCATGAAATTTCCAGTTCCCATCCCATCCTGTTTCCATTACATTCACTTTATTTTACCGGTGTCACCTTCCTAAAATCATATCGAGGCACACAGTCAGACATTATGACTCCATATAAAAAAAAAAAACGGCTACCACCCAACGCAGACGATCGGCTTTCCTGTCCCATCCGTTGTAATTGCCCTCTCGGCCGGTGGGAATTGTGCGACGCCCGAGAGACCCGTGGCGTTCCCACTCAGTGGTACCTTAATGCCTTCTTTTAGGCAGTAAATTTGACTAATAAAAGGCACAAGTGGAAACATGACAGCATTCCCATAACGTTGGGAGACTTTTCTGGTTTCTGGCAGCTTAATTGCTGTAACATCCAGGCCTTTCTATTAGGGGTCCACGAGGGAGGGATACGGGGGCACCTTGTGTGGTATAACGACGGAGCGTTCCCAGATATCGTGACGGGATAAAAAAAATTCTGCTGGCGACGCATAAACACGGCAGAAGTCGTGTAGGCGTTTATTTGTATATTGAGTGAGGAGGCAAAGTGTGATCGGAAGTGGTCACCGGAGACGGGGTTTGAGGTTTTTTTATAGCAGGATATGAATGAATTCAAGATCTTATGGAACGGGGCGACATTTAGAGGTTGAAATTTTTCTCCCCCCAAAAATAGCAGGAAAAAAAAAAAAAAAAGTGGGTTTGTGTGTTAATTGGCGCTGAGGTATGGATGGAGACATGGCAGCTCAATCGTGGACGGGGCTTTTAACACAAGTCTCCTCACCGAGTTCCCGAAACCGACTGAAGGATTTGAGTGTTTAATAAGAGAAGCAGCCACCCATGACTCCCAACTCTCTTTCAGTCGGTGGAGTCTTGACTCTGTATTCCACTGACAAGCCCGCTCTCTCGGTCTTAATACTCTTTTTCTTCCTCCAATTCTGCCTCACTTTCACTTACATTTTGTCCTTTAAGTGCTCTCACTGCCCTCCTCCTCCAACACATCCCTTTATTTCGCTGCCTCTCGTCTCCTCGACCACCTTCACCGACAGCTTTTATCTGCTTTTTTAGGAGAGGAGGGGTGGGCTTCTTCTTCTTCTTCTTTTTTTTTTATTCTGAGATAAATTACCAGCTCTCCTCTCCGTATCTTTTCATAAAGCCCGGCGAGACACTACACAATCAGATCCGCCGTTAATAACGGCAGAGGGGCGCGTGAAATCGATGGACGCACGCCGCAGATACAATATTGATTTTATTAATTTGCGATTCTATCCGCTCCATCAGATGTAATGCGTTTTTTCATTCGAGCTGCGGTGAGATGTGTATTTACCCCTGTAGGTCATAATGAAGTGAACATCAGCTGTGTCTTTCCCCCTTCTGCATGCTCCCCCATGCACTTTACAGATTAGCAAGGCCACCTCCAGGCGCTGACCCTTTATGATGACTCATAAACACGACCGCGCTCCGATAGCTGACATCCGTCTCCGCCCCGCCCTCTCACCTTGACTCCCCGGCCGAGATCCGTCTATATTCTCTCAGCGCCTTATTAAAACCACCGCTCCCTCGCCCGCTCCGTCTGTCTTTCGGAGCAACTTAACAGCTCCTCCCAAAGGTCGAGCTCATGAGAGGTCAACGCAGCAACCCTCCTACACGCCCAGAGTTCCTCCTCGGCGGTAATGAAGCATTTAGATCCCCTCGGCGGCCTCTCAAATTCTCCGACTTGTCGCACATTGGGTTGCCATGGTCCGCCAAAGAGTTTTTCTGTTGTTGACGGCTTGTTTTCCTCCCCGAACATCCACCACGTCGTCCCTTTTAGTAATTAGATGTACCTTTCTGTGTAGTTTCCATGGCGAAATTGGTGCAGGCGGTCAAACCCCTCTTCTTTTTTTTAAAAGATGAGGTAGAGG